CTTTATATCTAAAAATTAGCAGCCAAAACAAACTTAAAAAATGGTGGGGGAGTTTAGACTATAAAGAACAGCTTTAAAAAACCATTTATTACAAAGATGTTTATCATAGAATTATGGGTGATAGTTAAGAACTGAAACCTATCTAAATGGCTTATATTAGGGAAACGAATAGCAACAATAATAAATTTATTGAATATCTGCTGTGTATCAAACATTCTTTCAAGTATCTTACATGTGTTAACGCACTGAGTCCTCATGATAAAACTATGAGGAAGGAAGTTAGTTCTATCATTCCCATTTCCCAGATGAGGGATCAGTACACAGGCGTTAGCTGATAAGTGGCCAAGCAGGATTTCCACATACCCATGGTGCTTTGGAACCCAAATTTGGTGTACTGAGATAATGCAATATTTGTAGCAATTAAAATAATGCCTCACACATTGTTTGATGACACAGAGATGATTGAAATGAAGCGAAAGCTGCAGGATAAAAAGTGTATTGACAATACAGGTACAACTTCGGAAAAACCTATGGAAAACGATGGGAAAAATATGTATGATGGTTGTCTCTGAAGAAGTCTCGTGATTATTTATTTTCTCTTGTATATATTATTGATACCTTATAAAATTTTCAATTATGTACATTCAGGCTCGGCCTGTGTCTCAAGTGGCTAAGGCCACATACACCTGAGTTGGTGGGTTCGAATGTAACCCAGACCCGCCAAACAACAATGACAGCTGCAACCAAAAAATAGCCGGTGTTGTGGCGGGCGCCTGTGGTCCCAGCTACCTGGGAGGCTGAGGCAGGAGACTCGTTTGAGCCCAGGAGTTGGAGGTTACTGTGAGCTGTGATGACACAGCACTCTACCCAGGGCGACCGCTTGAGACTCTGTCTCAAAATAAATAAATAAATAAATAAATAAAAATTATGTATATTCATTTCATATTCAGAAAAAATAAACTATTTACAATAACATCCCATTTACTTACCATTCTTTTGAATTTATATATTATTTCACATAAGTGAAATATTATTTCAGTTTTGGAAAGGACTGTCATAATTTAGTTTTCAAGCCAATCTTTAAATCTATTTCAAGAGGTTTTAAAATTGTATTTGAACATGTCATGTGTTGATGAAAACCTACCACTTTCTCAAGGCAATACAATCTACTTATAAACTATTTTTGCTCTGGGAACTTATGAAGGCTAAATTTTTGCGGGGGAAAAGCTTCTCCTTTTTTGCCCTAAATTTTATGCATGCTGATCTAATGGTCTGCCACAGGATGCTAGATCTCAATTCAGGAAGAGGATCGGGGTACGGGAGGTGGGGGTGCTCTATTCCTGCCTGCATTCTGCCATGGAGATATTATCTCCTGCCTCTAACCAGCCAGACTGTGAGGATCTGCTACTCACATTCCTCTTCTTGCTTAGATGACCATGCAAGGTTATTTGATTTTTACGCCTACCATTCCAACCAAGCCACGACACCAGCTGTCATAAATTGGCTGAGTTAGCATTCCATAGGGGAAAAACCCATTTGTGACAATGTAATATTTCTTGTTATTCAGAATATTTTTTTTCCCTTGTCGCCGTGGGTAGAGAGTCCCAGCACCATAGCTGACAGCAACCTCAAATTCTTGGGCTCAAGTGATTCTCATGCCTCAGCCTCCCAAGTCTTTGGAACTAGGGCACCTGCCACAATGCCTAGCTAGTTTTTCTACTTCTTCTTCTTTTTTTAATAGGCTCCTGCTCAGGTTGGTCTCGAATTCCTGAGCTCAAGCGATCTACCGACCTTAGCCTCCCAGAGTGCTGGGATTGCAGGTGTGAGCCACTGTGCCCGGATTGAGATCTGTATTTCTAAGGAGCTTACAGGGGACGCCCTGCTACTGGTCTGCTTCCCACACTTTGAGGAGCAATGGCCTAGAACCAGGAAAGTTAAGAAGAAAAGTCTGGGTACTAATTTATTTTATTTTATTTTTAGTAGAGACCAAAGGAAATTTGGGGGGGAAACAAAAGAGACATTGGTTTCAAGGGTAAATTTAGGTGGTATCTGTTCAAAAGGATATAGTGAAAGGGTCAGAAACTCCGGGGAGCTTAGGGAACAGTTCTCTCAATCAGCAAGCATGTATAAGTATCTATTCAGTGCAAGTCACCGTGTGGATGACAGAGACACCATCGTACGTGTCATTCCTGGGGCTTGCTGTGGACTTGTGACTATTGTTAGCTCACTATGTGTTCTTGGGCATTTGTTTGCAAACTTGGAGGTGCACAAGAAATACCTAGGGAGTCTGTGAAAACACCCTCTTTGGGGACCTGCTTCTGGAGATTCCTGTCTGGGACCCAAGACTTTGCAACTCTAACCAGTTCATAGGTGAGGTCAGAGTTACCAGCCTGAGGTCCATACTTGAGAACCACTGTCCTAGGGCAATGACCTTAACCTCTGCAGTTCTCTTCAGCCCCAAACCTGACATCCCTGTCATTTAGAATATAAACACAGGACTTTAGGTTAGCAGGCCAGAAGCCTGGGTCAGTTAACGCAGTGCCTGGTGCATTGTGGTCAGAGAAGAAACTGGACAGAATCTTACTACCTGTCATAGCAAGTTCAGCTCCAGTGAGAAAACTGGTTTAAATATAAAGAATTAGAAGGAATTATTTTTCTTTTTCTTTCTTTCTTTTTTTTTTTTTGAGGCAGAGTCTCACTATATTGCCCTCAGTAGAGTACCATAGTGTTACAGCCAACAAACTGTGACGCTTAAGTGATTCTCTTATCTCAGCCTCCCAAGTAGCTGAGACTACAAGCTCCCACCACAATGCCTGGCTATTTTTTGTTGCAGTTGTCATTGTTGTTTAGCAGGCTGGAGCTGGGCTCGAACCTGCCAGCCTTGGTGTATTTGGCTGGCACCCTACTCACTGAGCTATGGGTGTTGAGCCTCTTTTTTTTTTTTAGACAGAGTTTCACTGCCATCCTGGATAGAGTGCTCTGGTGTCACAGCTCACAGCAACCTCATACTCCTGGGTTTAACATTTCTCTTGCCTCAGCTTCCCAAGTAGTTTAGACTAGAGGTGCCTGCCACAATATCCAGCTATTTTTAGAGGTAGGGTCTCATTCTAGCTGGTCTCAAACTTGTGAGCTCAGGCAATCCACCTGCCACAGCCTCCCAGAGCATTGGGATTACAGGTGTGAGCCACCGTGCCTGGCCATAGTTTTTCTATTTTTAGTAGAGATGAGGTCACACTCTTGCAGAGCTTGGTCTCAAACTCATGAGCTCCAGCAAACCACCCACGTGGGCCTCCCAGAGTGCTAGGGTTACAGGTGTGAGCCATTGAGCGTGGCCAGGAATTACATTTTTAAACTGTTTTTATTTATTTAACTTGGGGGGAATGTTTCATGAGTTTGTGTGTCACCCTTGCTCAGGGTCATGCTAATCTTCTCTGTATCTTTCTGATTTTGTTATATGTGCTGCTGAAGCAAGTGCAAGGACTTACAGTCAAATGTTAGCTGTGGTCAAGATGAGCGATTTTTACTTATTTATACTTTTCTGTACAGTATAAACTCAATATAATAAATGGTGATTAAATACATTTAATGTAAATAGACAGGGGTTTTCTATGTAGAAAGCAAACTCATTAGGTCAAGGTCTGGGATGACTGCCGTGCCCTTTACAGCTACCCTTTCCTGTAACAGACGTCTTTGGATGGCACGACACACGAACCTGGGTATCTTTTTTTCAAACTGCTTTGTTCATACCAAGGAGGGATCTCATTTTGTTTCTTAGCAATAAAGTCTTTAGAAAGCAACTCTACCTAAAATGCAAGCACATTGTAATAAAGCACTGTATAGGAAGTTCTCACCTAAGGGCGAGCTGTAGACTTCTAAGGTACACAGCCGTCAGTAGGCATTACCCGCGCATGTGTAGGGTGTGTGCATCAGAGAGTGTGCGTTGTGCATACAGGCCACATGCATGCACACGTGCTTCCCCTGCTCCTAACCACCATTTCTCTGCTGCTGTTGTTGTTCAGGCTACAGTGCAATGGTGTCATCATAGCTCACAGCAACTTTAAACCCCTGGGCTTGCACCATCCATCCTCTTGCTTCAGCTTCCCAAGGAGCTGGGACTACAGGCACATACCACCACACACGGCTAAGTTTTCTATTTTTACAGAGACAGGATCTCAGTCTTGGTCAGGCTGGTCTCAAACTCCTGGCCTCAAGAAATCCTCCTACCTCAGGCTCCCAAAGTGCTAGTATTACAGCTGTGGGCCACTGTGCCAGGCCTAAACAACCCTTTCAACAAAGCTTCTATTCCAGGCAGACCAGGAGCTCCTTTCCACTGGAAAATGAAACTGAAGGCTCTTGAAGACAGGTCATTACTATGTATTTTTTTCTGCATTCACAAGTCCCTGGTGGAAGGCTTGATTAAAGTTTCCTGAATGAATGTCACTAGCTTTTGTTGACTTTGAACACAAACTCTGCCTCCAACCTCCACCCCTAGCTGACCCTTGCCCTCCACGTCTCTCCTCAGGAGATCTTGCCTCCCCTCCAGGAGGACTTGGGAGGCTGCTTCAGGCTTTTCTGGAACACATCATTCCCTAAGCCACTATCACCTTGAAACCCCCACCCCATGGGCTCACATGCACTCTGTTTTTGTATATGTGCAAGAGTTTTGACTTTCCAAATAGCTAACAATTTCTGAGATTTTTATAGCTCTGGGTTTTCCACAGTTTTAGAATAAAAATATAACTTAGAGATGAATTCCTGAATGCTCCCTCTGACAATAAATTCTTCATGTATGTTAATGACTATTAATGATCTTGTGCATTTTTCTCTCCATTATGCTATAGAAGTATAAATATAATACAGTCATATCTCACCCTCCTCCCCACCCCCATTCACCCCACTCCCCCTACCAGCTTAAACCCTTCAATGGCTCCTCTCCTTCTCAAAAGAAAAAGGGTCCCAGGGCATCATCTACCACTACTTTCTAGTTCTGGGCCCCCCCCAACCAGGGGGCTCACCAGTTGGTGTCTCCCCTTCTCTTTCTCCCGAGGGACAGACATTCTAACCCTGTACTAACACTTACTGTTCATTTCTGATTTCTTGGCTTTTCTAGTTTTAAGTATCTTTAGAATAGGACTGTTGATTATCTGTTAGTCAATGTTTTTGAGGAGAGGCACCAAGAACAGTATTTGGAGTGTGAGTCCTTCCTATTTCTTCAATACTGAATACACAAATCATTCTTCACCTCCGATAAGGACCCTTTACTGCTGGTATATGGAGCAGGTCAGCAAGCCAGGAGAGGACGTATTTTAGAGGTAGGAGGACTGAGGACTGGGTTTGCAAGTGAGAGGAAGAGAGGAAGCACCTAGCACTCTGTCTTTGCCACTCTTTGGCATTTTTTTTTTTTTTTGAAAGTCTCAAGCTGTCGCCCTGGGCAGAGTGCCGTGGCGTCACAGCTCACAGCCACTTCCAACCCTTGGGCTTAGGTGATTCTCTTGCCTTCGCATCCCAAGCAGCTGGGACTACAGGCGCCCGCCACGATGCCCGGCTATTTTTTGGTTGCAGTTGTCATTGTGGTTTGGCAGGCCCAGGCCAGGTTTGAACCAGCGAACCTCGGTGTACGTGTCTGGAGCCCGACTCACTGAGCTGTGGGCGCTGAGCCCGCTCGGGCTTTTCATGACTAGACAGGAACTTTCCTTAAGGGATGGCACTTTAGAGTCTGCAACACTAGAGTTACTGAGATGTCATCCTCAAGAAAATGTGGTTAAGGGGAACAGATGGCTCTAACTGCAGGTGTTAAACCTTCCACATCTGTATCAGACCGCTCCCTGTCTCTTCACGCCATCGGCACCTCCACGGCCACTATCCCCAAGGCAAAACCTCGGCATATTGTGCACACAAGCCTCCCCTGATGGAATGTTACTTAGTGTTGTCCTGTCAAAAAACTCAGTGCCAGGAGGAAGCCAGAGACCCAGGCTGGTTTTGATTCTAACTGTGGGACTAATTCAGTCCTCAGGACTATGGGTACCACTTCACACCTCTGCCAGCTGAAAGAATAGAGCACACATTGTCTTGCTATAGTGTCTTCAAGTTTTTCTGAGACCCAATTTAACCCAATTTCAGTAAATAAAGGGAGAAAAAGAAAAGAATAAAAGACAAAAAAAAAAAAAAAGACAGGGTTGTTTGATCTGATCACAGTTTAGCTGGATGTTGCTGCTTAATCGCGTTTCTGCTTTAAGAGCACCCCCTTTCCGTACTGCCCTCTGGAAAAGGTTGTATTAGTTTGCAGTCCCGCCAGCAGTGTAAAAGGAAGTATAGAGAATCCTCAAAGAACTCAAATTAGACCTCCCATTTGATCCAGCAATCCCATTACTGGGCACCTACCCAGAAGAAAAAAAATCCTTTTATCAGAAAGACATTTGCACTAGACAGCTCAATTTATAAATGCCAAAATGTGAAAACAGTCTAAATGCCCACCAACCCAGGAATGGATTAACACTACTGGGGTATATGTACACCATGGAGTATTATTCAGCCATTAAAAAAGAAGGAGACTTTACATCTTTTGTATTAACCTGGGTGGAGTTGAAACACATTTTTCTTAGTAAAGCATCACAAGAATGGAGAAGCAAGAATCCAATGTACTCAATTCTGACACGAGGGCAATTGGTGACCTAGTACATGGTGGGGGTGGGGAATTGAGGAATGGAAAGGGGGAAGGAGAGAGGGAGGTGAGGGGTCACGTTGTGTGGCATACCTTAGGGAAGTAGGACATAATTATAAGAGGGATTTTATCTAACAAATGCAATCAGTGTAACCTGGTTCTCTGTAATGTCAATGAATCTCCAGTAATAATAAGTAAAAAGAAAAAAAGAGCGCCTTTGGACATGAGAAGTGCAAACTCCATGGTATCAATCTTGCAGGCTCAGCCACTGCACTCAGCACCCCTAGATCAGCACAGGGGCTGGGCAAGAAGTGTGTCTGATCTCGGAGGATGGTTTTTTAAAATGGAGACAATAGGTTTAAGGTAAGGTTCTTTGTTCATCCTTTATGTCAAGCAATCCACAATTCATATTAGCCTGTTCATAAATTGTTATTCTGAGTCCTTTAAAACAGTGCTTGAAAGTCTAGGCAATTAGAAAATTGGAAGAAATCATTTTTATATCTCAACTGTTATACTAATGTTTCATCATTCTAACGGGCCAGCTGCCTTTTCATATTCTAACTTCTACCAATAGAAATATGTTCTTTAGGCAAAATTGTAAGAAGTCTCAAAACACTGAATTTTAAATACCTACCTTTACTGTAATAATAACATTTATTGCTTTACATTTCATTATTCTTATTCTAGTGATAGGATCTCATTCTGTTTCCCAGGGTGGAGTGTAGTGCTGTGACCCATCAGCTCACTGCAGCCTCAGAGACTCCTGGGCTCCAGTGATTCTTCTGCCTCAGTCAACTAAGTTGCTACTACAGGCATGTGCCACCCTGCCCAGGACTTAAAAGAAATTTTGTAGAAACAGGTGTTGCTATGTAGCCCAGGCTAGCCTTCAACTCCTAGCCTCCCACTCCCGCCCACCTTGGCCTCCCAAAGTGCTGGGGTTTCAGACATGGGTCACCATAGCTGGCCATTTCCACACTATTAGCGTTATCCTAAAATTATTTACTTTGATTATTTTAAAAAGCACAATATGTGTTCTTTGCTGAAAAACAGTAGGAAATATAGTTAAGTAAAAAGAAGGTAGAAAACATCTACAACTGCTCCATCTGTCCGGAGCCAGCCTGTTAACGTGTTTCTCTCTCCTCGTTGTGCTTTGACATTCACTTACGGAACTGTGATCACGCCACACACCCTCTCCCTTTTCTCTTTTTTTCGTATCAGTGTTTCACTAACACCTTTCTATGTTAGTGCACAAACAAATCTTCCCAGAGTCGCAGCTTTAGAGTGAAACAGTTGTGTGTTTCAGGGGCACTTAACTTGTCTAGGTCTCAGACCTATCATTTTTTTTTGTTTGTTTGTTTCTGAGACTGAATCTCACTATGTCACCCTCCATAGAGTGCTGTAGAGTCATACCTCACAGCAACCTCAAACTCTTGGGCTTAAGAGATTCTCTTGCCTCAGCCTCCCAAGTAGCTGGGACTACAGGCGCCTGCCACAACGCCCGGCTAGTTTGGGGGACGGGGTCTCACTGTTGCTCAGGCTGGTCTCCAGCTTCTGAGCTCAAGCAATCCCCCCACCTCGGTCTCCCAGAGCACTGGGATTACAAGTGTGAACCACTGCATTGGCCCCTGTCATCTTTAAAATGAGAATTCCAATTATATCAACCTCAAAGCATTGCTGAAAGGATTGAATGAGATAATACATTTGACTCAAAGTTTTGCTAGTGGAACTCAATGAAGGCTTGCACAATCTTCCCTTGTATCTGAGGGAGATTGGCTGCAGGATCTTCAACCATCCCCCCTCAACCTTGTTG